AAAAAAAAAAAAAAAAAAAAAAAATGGTACACGGCGTACACGGCTAGGTCAATAAACTGTGTGACGCAACGTCACTAGTGCGTTGGAATTTATCTGTTACAAATATACAAATGTAAGGCAAGGTATAAAAACGAATAAAACAAGAACATGTAAAAAGTAACATTAATAAAAATGTCCATTAACGATGCATTTAGAATAAATTGTCTTGCAGTTAACTCGTGAAATCATATAGATACACGTAATATGAATGGAATATATAACACTTTATTTGTGCTAATAACACTCAGAATTCATGCTTTATTGGTAACGTCGGATATTGACACTAAAATGGTAACAGGGCTACGTAGCCCTATGAACGTGGGACAGAAAAGAGCATTGGATGATAGGTCTATTCTATACCTAGTCGGTGGTGATACTAGATTCAAGTTGATTTGAATATAATTCACGAATGCACCGTTCTCATAACGTAGAGGGCAGCAGAAAGTCTCTGATGTTTTGCACGATCGGTATTTCAGAACCTGCGACACGAAGTTTCATATGTCAGGTCTATTCTATATCTCGTATGTGCTATTATCTAGAGACCGTTGAAATCTAAGTTGTTAAGGTACTGCTCGCATAGATTCTTGACATTCCTTGAGCTACAGACGACTGTGCTAGGGATCCAGCAAGTCGGGCCATGGAAATATGTACATATTTACATCAGACGTTGGATCTAGTCTTATTATACATATGTACCTCATCTGTCGTTTTGTGTAATTCAAAATAGAGACATACGTATATACTATAACGAATCGACAATATTTTAAGGCTTCATCTGCAACTGAAAGTTCAAGCTTTTAAGCATATAGTTATGCTATCTTGCCGCCAGATAGCATAACTATGTTATTTGGGGTAGACTCTATATCAGGAACCAAATCGATGGCGCAATGTAAAATCGAGAAAATGTTACTAGTGGTGAGTAGCTTGAGCGTTTTACTATAAAAGTATTACTTAAAATTTGTTAAAATTATTAAAACCCAATAACGATAAATTCTAACATTGATCGAGTAAATGTAACATTTTTGCATTCATTGTTAATAAAAACATGTAACTTTTACACTGAATAATGCTAGGGATTTTTGATGAAAGGTTTTCATAATTAACGTTTAAATGGTTGTGTGTTACACGTGTTTTAAAATATTTTATTATTTGCATATTTTTTGTGCAATTAGTTAAAGTAAATAGGAAAATGCGATGTTTTTACGTGAAGAAATGATTTCTTGTAGTTCATACTGCGAGATGACATTATTATGACATTAAGTACGGTTATACGGTATGTGTCACTTTATCGATTAAAATTTTCATTTTTGTCATTTACGTTAATTTTCAGTCGTTTCTCCGAAATTATCCAGTTTTTTCTAATTTAATCTGTAAAAATAAATTGTTTTCAGTATCAGTTTCTGTGATAACATTTATAAAAGTGTATGGACTGTGAGTTAACACTTTATAATGTTTTATGCAATTTGTAGAGTTCTTAGATTATTGTGTAACAATGTAGTCAAATAAGAGAATAAAATATTTAATAATAATGTAACTGGACAATGTGGTCTCAATAAACATCTTTTCGTTATTCTTAGTTATATAACTAAGGTATACGATTAATCACGTACTCTAGTTTTTTTAGCGTTCGTTTCATGTATATCTATGATTCTATATTTTATTGTGTATTACTCTATTAGGATGATTCACCTTATACTATAAACAAGCATTATTGTAAATATAAATATACAGACATTAAAGATAACAAAATGCAATGTGAGAGACAAGTACGATAAATATACATAATCTAAATATGGAATTATAGAAGGTTGTTATCATGAATTCCATTATATTCAAAATTCATTATTAGCGTGATATCATTGTGAAAGCATTAACACTGTGAGCTCTATATGACACTAAATTATAGTCGTACATAATGTTCTTGAACATACTAATAGTATGAAATAGGAATGTTTTTGAGGTATAAAAATGTTTTTGTGCTCTAAGTGTTAATAATTATAAAATTAAACAGATTGTTATAATTAATTTAAATCTTATGTAATACAAAAATAATATATAATAAACAATATTCTTATATACATATTATTTTATAAATATGATATATTTACAATGCAATGATATTGTTTTAAGATTTTCATTTTTAATCAATATTTTTATGTTACTTTATACATAATATTTAATCAATGTTATTGTTGAATAAATTTTGTTGAGTAAGCTTTGTTTAATCCGTATACATATGGTAATGTTATTGCATAGTATATACTGTATAGACATATATTTGAATTTATTTCACTTTAATCAGATTTCTTATTTTCACAATATAATCATTATTATATAAAATTAATTCAAACCTGAAATTCGATATTTAGAAATATTACAGTAACACGTGCTAATTGTTTTAGCTTCCATAAATCATCATCATAAATCATACTCTCCTTTTCATTATTTTTTACATGGTTTCTTATCAAGAATTATTTATTGAGGCCACTCAAATTTACGTTTATTAAGTATGAGCAACAGTATGCAAAATATAATAATTTGATAAAGATAAACAGTAATACAATATGAGTCGTTTTTAAAAAAGTGGTGTAAGTCCAATTTTGAAAAAAATATGTTCAAGGAACTTTCAGCTACAGATGGATAGCATTTTTTCACATTTACCATAACAAAGACAATACGGTACAATATTCTTACGAATTAGTCCAAAGAATATCGGCTGTTAAGTGGAATTGCATAAATGTTTATTTTTTCAAATTGGTATAAATCCATTTGTAACAATGAATCAATTTATTTAACACGTTAGCTACTGCCGTTTACAGAGATGCAGGTTCAAAAAGATAGAAGAATCCTGTCAGAGAAGTTGTAAATTGGTTTAAGATTTGCTAATGAGATTTAAAAGGGTGCACTATGTAAAATGTTACATGAAACATCAGTGGAAGATAATGCGAAATAGCCCTAAGATTTATCCCCAAAACGAGAAAGGCTAACAAATTTCAGTGAAATAATATTATTGCCGTTATATACAAATTCAAAATCTGTTACACTAGCTAAATATAACGATATGATGAGTTTATTGCCTTATACACTCCCTGTTCACCGCGAATATTTCGAGAAACTTTCTTCGAAGCAAAATAAACAAATTATTAGTAGAAGTTACTAATATTATCTATCTTTATGATTGTGTTATATATTATAAATATATTTTTAAACAACAGAAAAGATTGTAATAAGCACAAAGCTGTATACAATAAAAATATACAATACAATACAATACAATACAATACAAATATATTTTTACACTCAATAATATAACTTTATTTTTAATATAATTATTATTATTCGTATTGTAGAATTATATTCCAGAAAAATTTAATTTATTTGAAATATAAATTTAAATTTGATATTAGTCATGTGTTTGATAATTTATTATTTTTAAAAGTGGTGTAAGTCCATTTGCGGTTAACAAAAACACTGTTTTACTTAGAGAATATTTATAAAACTGCTCACATAATAAAATAAACATATCTGGAATCTTAAAAACATAATAGAAGCGTTTAACAATATTTTTAAATAGGGCGAAATGCAAAACCATAGATATTTCGAAATAAAGAAAAGTGGATTTACATACTACTTAAAAAAAAACGGATCATATATTTTTCACACTTTTGAGAGGTTGTAACAGTAACTTTACCCATTTATAACAATTTCACATGTATGTAACTATTGCATGAAGATTGCTAACAAAATGTTTCAGAACATTTTGTTTACACCACTTAAAACAGAATGAATGAGAGGTAACAATGATACTTATTTGTACTTAAATGTCTTTCAGTTTTCTATTTCTATTGTACAGTTCATTATGCAATACCTACAAGCCTTTATTAATTTTTTTAATCGAGGATGTGGATTTCAATAGAAAAAAAGAAAATGCCACGTTTATGTAGATTATTTTAACATTTTCGTAATATGATATTTCTAGGTAATGGGAATTGGGGCACTTTGATGCAACGGGGCACAATGAAAAACTAATAGTTCCTCGATATCCGTAAACATTTAAAAGTTTAAAACATGACCATAGGATAGCATATAAACAATCTCATCTTGTGGTCCTGTTATGAACTTTTAAATGTTTATGGATATCGAGATACTATTGGTGTTTCGTTTAACCCTGTTACATCAAACTGCTCGAACTCCCCATACACGTAAACCTAAAAATTACCTTCAGTAATTAAACTCTGAAACTATCTCAACACATGCAAAAAAAGTAAGAAAGTTCTGCTTTATAAGGTAATTCACTTGAGAGTTTTTGATTGGAAAGGAATAATAAATGAAATTGAAGTTGCGAACTTGTGGCCGTAGTAGTACGTCATTGGCCACAAAAATGTTAATATTTCATGTTTTTACGGTGATCGAAGATCCTGCAGCTCGACCGCAATAAAAAGAATTGCACCCGAAAAGAAAGTGATATATTACGAGTGCCTTTAATACGAAAATATCGTGAAGTTCAAATAAGAGGTGTTACACACCGTATACCGCTAATATTCATCACTGAAACTTTTATCTTCGTTACACCTGAAAATTTTACCTTTACGACCTGCATCACAATGTTCGTTTTCAAAGTTCACGCGCATCGGATACAGATTAAATTTTTAATCTCACTACTGCCGATCACGTTCTACGCTTCGGCATTCACATATTTACGTTCCTTTTAACGATTTATCGTTGCGACAAAAATACAAGAAGAAAAAGGAATGGCACGAACAGTGTGGTTACATATTCTATAGTATATTATGCGATAATTACAAGTTTTGTTTTCATTTTCTGATTGGTCTCTACTTCTTTTTACTTTTGCATTTGTTTAAATCGAGGTGATGTTACTTGATTATATCGAGGAAATATGCTTTGATATTGCAGTTTAAAATCACATGTGACAAAAGTACATTCTGGAATAATCAATCAACCTGGCGATCTAATTTTTTCAGCGCAAAATTCAAAGTAAGTTACTTCCCAGATAGCACATGACGTCTTGAAGACGGCTTAAAGGCGCCTTAGACCTAAGAGAGCCGTAAAATGGGCGTCTTCAAGGCGTCATGTGCTATCTGGGTTAAGTTAAGTAATCCACGAAAGTGTGTGTCTGCATAAATATCTGCAGCCTGGAAACATTCCGTGAGCAACAAATAAATTATTTTTATTCTCTATTTAATGTTTCAAATTCATATGAAAGTAGGAATTTAAAATCGATCTTTGATTAATCTCTTGTGTCCTCGAAAGCATCATTCAGAGATGGTATCACTATACAGCAGAGTTGGGCATAATTTTATTCGATTAATACATAGTGAAAAGCTGAAGTATCCAGGGGCATCAGTCGGAGCTTTAAACAGTTAATGGGATTAAATAATTATTTGCCAAATGTCGACTCATTGAAGAAGAAGTATTATTTTATTATTAAAAATTGAAATTTATATGTTCAAACGATTAAAAATGACGAGGTACTTTTTTGTTTTTTTATTCGCTATTCGAAACCTTTTATCTGTATAATGAATTTGCCCATCGCCGCCATACAGAGGTGTACAAGTCATTATACATATAGATTCATCGCGAACTTTTCGCATTCATTTGTGTACTAAATAAATATTTCAGGCATTTCTTTCAATTTCTGTTGTGTCTCTTTTTTCAGTTTTCTGTTTTTCTCCTCTTCTGGTGAGGCAACAGTTAAAGCTGAGTGAAAATTTCAATCTATTTAAACCCTGAAAGATTATCGCATGTACAACATCGCGCTGAAAATCTTTTCAACGAAAAATATTACGTATTGCATTGCAATAATACATTGGGTCAATGCACACGAAATTGCCGTTTTGCGTGTTCTGTTTGGTCAATTGATATTTACAAAGCCAACACAGGCTCTAGCTTGGTCGTACAAAAGCATCACACGCTTTCGCGTTATTAACATCGGACACATTTATTTTGTAATTTCTCGTTCAAGGTTAAAAAATACAATTACCTCTCATCACTTTTGAATAACTGTTTGAACAAAGTTTCAATAAATGCATACCAACAAACAAAGACGATATTTACAGTTTCGATCGGCAGGTTTCATGCGCATAAGCCGAGTTACATTGCACCTAAAATGCGAAATCATTGAACCGCATGTACACCGCTCTACATTGCATTTAAAATGCCAAATCGAAAATTTGTTGATTGAAATCGAGACAAAAAACATTCAAAGATTCAAACCAACAACAGAAACGTCTAAACGAAATCAAAGCTCTATTT